CGACCGCTCCAAAGTTTCGGGGCAGCGCCGGGGCAGCGCGCACCCTCGCCGGCCTCGCTCGCCGCCGCCAAGACGCCCCGCCGGCCAGTGCAGGCCGGCCCGGCCGATACACCGCGATACCGCCCCGCCGCGCGGCCACGCCGACGGACTGCCCTCCCTCCAGGGCTTCAGGCGGAGGGCCGCCTGCCACACCTCGCGCAGCAAGCAGCATGCAACGCACGACGGGCCATTCCTCACAGCCGACAACCTGACTCGCAACAGATTAACACAGGGGGGCGTCGGCGAGGCCAGCAGGGCCTTGGCCGCACCAACGCAGCGCTGGGCCGCACAGAAAGAAAACCCGAGCTTTCCCGCCGCTCAGGCCTCTGCGCCTCCAGGTTCACGCGGGTTCAAATCCCGGCGCCGCCACCCCACTTCCTCCACCCCGGCGGCTCCGCGGCCCCGCCCCGGCCGGCACAGTCCGGTTCTGGTTGGTTCCGCTCCGGGGGAATCTAACACTACACTGCACACAAAACCCGAGCGATAAAGCACGGAAAGAGAAAAGGCGGCGAGAAGGAGAGAGAGAGATGGTGCCGGCGAGGGAGGGAGAGAGCGCGCGAGCGCCGGGGACCGCCGTAAACAAGGAGGCAGAATCGCGCGGCAACTTCATAACGCGCGTCACACGGCGCCAGCGCGGCACCGGCCGGACAAGCCGACAAATTAACTCTCTCCCTCCCTCCCTCTCATGCAAGCCCCCTCGGCCGGAACCGCCTTCCACTCGGGCGTGCTTCGGGACGGCGCGCCGGCAACGCCCCCCCCCCCCGTTTTGCTCGGCAACTACCGTCTCGAGACATTGCCCGCACAGTGGGACAATTCATATTAGGCCAGAGCGGAGGGAGGCGGCGGCCGGCGCCCAGGCGGCGAGAGCGGGGCAGGGGGATGGCAGGGGGCCGGGCGGACGCTCACCGTGTCAAGTGGGGCATATTATTCAGAGGATATTACAGTTACGCCCCACCGCACGGCGTCCGGCAGGCAGGCGCGCCGTCTGCCCAAAAGGCAAGAGAGGGACAGAGACGCAGACAAAACGCAGCCCTCGGCGAAAACGCGCGGGGAAGACGACGGCGCCGAGGTCACCACTCACCCCACGGAATGGGATCGAGATCCCCGCCACGACACGCCCCGCCCCGCCACGCAGGACAAGGAGAAGCAAAAAATAACTAAACGGAGCGCGCAGTAGTGTCTGTATTACGCAGCCACACACCGTCGCAATTTGCACACACACACTAGCAGCGGCAGCACCCACACACAAACACACACACACGCGCGCGCATTGGGGGGCGCCGCGCGGACAACGCCCCTACACATGTTAACGCCATGCAAATACAATGAGGATCAACACAGTGCCGATCGCACCATTCACTGTCGCCATTCCGACCCACCGATTCGCCCCAAGCCCCAACCCCCTCTCAACCCTTTTCCCGCCATAATTTTCAATCGCCACGCACACATGCACACACACACACGCCCAGAGTGCATTAGAGGGCGGGCGAGAAAACAGAGTGCCGATGCACGCGAATTCTGCATTTACTGCCACACACACCGCGCGGACGGCGAGGCGGGCGGGATAGAGAGGGTGGGGGTGGGAGAGGAGAGCGAAGAGGACCACGGCGCGGGCGATGACGGCCAGGTCGGGTCGGCTTTGGTTTGTCGTCCCGGGTAGCGTCCCCCCCCCCTCGAAATTCAGTGCCTAGTGTGTACTGGCCCCAAAGCAGTGCCCCGGGGCCGAACACATCACACTCACACACACACAAACACACTCAGTACACGGCCAGGCTGCGGTGTGTCGGCTGGGCTGGACATGCCCCGGCCGTGTCGCCGTGTCGCCCGGCCGCGGCCGGTCATTACTGCTGGATCTCCACTGTACGTATCTGGACAGGCCCAGCCGGCAGGTCGCTCCGTCTCTCTCACTCTCCGCCGCACCCAGATGACGGGGGCCTCGCGTAAGAGAGGGAGAGAGAGCGACGAAAGCGCTGTTCGTCCGACGCGTCAAGAATCAGCCCGGCCGGCCCGTAGGGCGTACTCGGCGGCGGGGAAGTGCCCCCGGGACTGCCAATTAATCCCGAGGCCCGGGCGCTGCTGTGCCGTCCCCACAGTGGGCCAGAAGACCGGTGGAGGCGGCCAAAACTCTAGACGCGTTTTGAGCTCCAGTCCCTAAATAGGACTCGAACCGAACGTAAGACCCCACCAATGGATTGCTCTCCGAACGAGGAATCCATTGGTGGGGTCACACGTTCGGTTCGAGGCCTGTTTAGCGACTCTGGAGCTCAAAACGCGTCTAGAGTTTTGTCCGCCTCCACCGGTCTTCTGGCCCACTGTGGTCCCGTCCCTCCCAACACCCAATGCAGCAGCCAGATGCTTTTTGCAAAGCAAATGCCGCCCGGCAGCCTGACTCCGATTAGGACGTCTCTCTCTCTCGCACTCACGGGGCGCTGCGTACCGGTGCGAGAGAGGCAGTCGGACGTCGGCACTGCGCGGAATCCAGCCCACCCCGCTTTCCGGGTCACTCCCCCCCACACTCAGCACGGCCAGCACGCCCTCACAGGGGCCTAATTTGGTTAGTCTCCGTCACGCCTACACAGAGTGCGCTCCTACGCCAACACCACGGCCAGGGCCCGGCCACTGTGGTCGTGGACTCCAGCACCGCAAAAGGAATATTGCTTTCCCTTCCTGTCCGGAGCGGAGCGACGACAGTCGAGGAGGTACGGTGTGCAAGCAAGCTCCGGCTCGCCGGCCGGCCAGTCAGCCAGCCAGCCAGTCAGCCAGCCAGCCAGCCAGTCAGCCAGCCAGCCAGCCAGCCAGCCAGCCAGCCAGTCAGCCAGCCAGCCAGCCCGCCAGCCCTCCAGCCAGACTTCCAGCCAGCCAGCCAGCCAGCCAGCCAGCCAGCCAGCCAGCCAGCCAGCCAGCCAGCCAGTCAGCCAGCCAGCCAGTCAGCCAGCCAGCCAGCCAGTCAGCCAGCCCGCCAGCCAGACTTCCAGCCAGCCAGCCAGTCAGCCAGTCAGTCAGCCAGCCAGCCAGTCAGCCCGCCAGCCCTCCAGCCAGACTTCCAGCCAGCCAGCCAGCGCCATGCATAAGCACAGACTTTCTTGGTCAACTCCGGAATTGGCAGACAGGCGAGCCGAGCCAGCCCTCGCGAGCCGAGCCGTGTCAGGCGCCAGCTGTTTCGTATGCAGATACCGTCCGCTGCTCTCCAGAGTAGAAGTAAAAAAAAAACGGATAAAGTAGAGACTGGAGAAAAAAGGAAAGGGAAAAAGGAAAAAGCGCGGCGCAGCGTCAGACTGCGCGGACAGTGGAAGCGGAAGGGCGAACGATGGCACTCTCGGCCGAAAGAGCGCGACAGTCAGCAGGCCTACACGTCAATTGAAAAAAAAATCATTTTAAAAAACAGAAAACGGAAAAACGGCACGCACACACCCGCACGCACGCGCGCACACACACACTCCCAACTTGATGGAAAAACATTTTTTCGCGGTGGGAGATGAAAAAAAGCAGAAACGAGCCCTATGTTTTTTCTGTGCACGCCCGGGGGTCACTTGATTATGCCGGACATGGGGGCGGTACGCTCTGCAGGGAGACTAGGGAAACAAAACCACGCGCACGCGCTGCAGTTAGTACATATACGCCTCAGAGGCACGAATGGAAAACGCACCCAGTCGCCAATTTCAATTTAAGGCCAACCCGCTCCGTTTTTGTTCTTTTTTTTTTGGCACAGTGTAGTGCGATATGGGCCATACGGCGGGAATGCGCGGCCACGTCGCCTACGCTCCTCGCCGCGTGGTTCCCGGCCAGCCTGTCTCTGTCTCTCTCCCTCCGGCTGCCGCTGGAGTCGATCGCCAAGGAGACTGCCAACGCCACGGCGGCACACCCGCTGCAACCACACGCCGAGGACCGAGGGGGGGGGGGGTGTTCCCAGGCACCTCACGGGTCGCCATCCCCCCGCCACCTAATTCAATTATTGAACTTGCTCCCTCCTGGGCGATCTCCCCGCCTCCCCCCCCTCGGCATCGGCCCGAAAGCAATGTGGTTGGAGGGGGCCGAGCCCATTGCCGACACCAACACACACTCACACACACACACACACTCGGACACACACACTCGGACACACAAAACCGCCACGCCCTGACCACGACAACCCCACTGCATGCCGGCGTCACGGACTCCGCCACTCGACTCGACTTTGGCGGGTCGGCCGGCCGGGTCCCGGCAGCCTCCCTTTCCCCATATCCCTGCACACACTCACACACACACGGCCAACTTCGCACGAGGAAAAAGGCGCCCCCTTTCCTCCTCCGCCTACCCGGGGCAGTCATGACATCCTTTGATCGGGGACCTCATCAGGGGGTGGGCGGGGCGGGGGAGCGAGAGAGGGGAACTCCGAAAAGGCGGCCACTTTGGCTGCACCCAGGCGGAGCGGGCGGGGAAGAAGGTAAGGCCCGTACAGGAGGAGCTCCTCCGCGAGCAGGAGGGAGCACAAAGGCGGCCTCGGCCACACCCACACGCACCACGCCGACGACGGCCAGCCCGGGGCAGCCCTCTAGGGGGGAGGGGCCGCGGGGCGGAGGTGAACGTAAACACCCAGTGACGCTGGCGACGGCTTGCCCTGCCTTGCCGGCCGTCCGGTGTCGATAGAGATCAGAATCCCCTGCGTGCGGCGCGGTGCGGCGCGGCACCCCGGGGCTGTCGCGCTGTCGCCTCCACCGACAAACTTGCAGCACACACCTGTCACCCGGGGGAGTGCCGGCACGGCCCGGGGCCCGGGGGGGACGGCGAGGGGGAGGGCAGGGGAATCTATGCGAGTTAGCGCGCGGGTCGGGCATCGAACCGCGCCACGCCGACACACACACATAAAAAGAAGAAAAAGCGACGCCAACAGCAGCGATATTGCTCTCACATTGCGCGCGAGAAAATCGCGTCACAAGCCGGGACCACACCCGGCAAACGAAAAAGGAAGTAAAGGGACTCACCTTTGCGAAGTCTATCTTGAGGGTGCAGCAGCCGGAGTATATGTCTGCTCCTTGTAGCGCATCCTTGGCGCGCTGTGCGTTGTCCACGTTGTCGAACGTGAGCATGGCGTTAAGGAACAACAGCAGCAAGAGAAAAACAAACAACGACACAAACCGGGGAGCGCTCTCTATGTGGCTCCGAAATCGCCCACCCGTCCCCACCACCACGCACTGCTCCGCTGATAACGGACGCCGGCAGGCGGGGGGACACCGGGGACACCGCATAGGATAGTCATAACCAGGGCGGGGCGGGGGCGGGGGCTGCACAACCCCGTGACGTCATCGCGTCTTCGCGGGTTTCTCCCGGCGTGACTGCACACCGCCAGCACCAGGGGGTGGCAACAGCCTATTGCGCGCGTGAAGCTATGCGCGCCGCTCGGGCCGGCAAGGAGCGGCCGGGCGGCTGGGCCGCGCGGCCGAACCAAATTAAACAGAACTTTGTCAAAACTGCATCGAACTGAGTAAACGAGGTCATTTTTAGATTCTACGCAAAATTTCCTATCCGTGAGTGACAATGGAATGGACTTTTGGATATGTAAAACAGTTCTAAAATCAATTTGAAAACCAAATTTACGGCACCAGACAGCCGACTTGAAGTTTCCCTTTCACTAAAAAAGCTATTTCCGTTCGTTTTAGGTCCATACATACAGCGAGCCGATTGTTGGCCACTATTTTCCGGGTTGCTTGGTACACTTGGAACGCCAATACGACTTCTGTAGCAGAAATGCCGATCCAAAAACTAATTTCCATTTTTGGTCCAAAATTGTATTTTGCAACTTTGGAGGTTAAAAGCACAGTTTGATATAGGTTTCTCAGCATTGTCAACCTCACTAAGCAACCCAGAATTCAATTCTCTATCGCCCTGCTGTGTTGGATTTGCAAAAGGAGGTCAAACTTCTAATTGAAACGAAAAGGCCCGAAGCGCTGCAAAACCGCCAAAACAGTTCAAGTATTTTGTGGAGCTTAATGTGTGAAAACTATTTCTCAGATTGTAAATCCAACCACACCACCTTGTAGGCCAGTCAATTCTACAGCTCCATTGTAAGTTTCATCGCAATCGGAGACCAAGAGTGAAGGCGGCAGAATATATTTTAAAGTTAGCTGCAAAAATCTGCCGCAGCGATTTCTCATACTTGCGCCCGTTCGACCAATCAACCAAACTGATGGGATTTACAATTATTATAGCTGTCTTTACTCTTGGTCTCCGATTGCGATGAAACTTACAATGGAGCTGTAGAATTGACTGGCCTACAAGGTGGTGTGGTTGGATTTACAATCTGAGAAATAGTTTTCACACATTAAGCTCCACAAAATACTTGAACTGTTTTGGCGGTTTTGCAGCGCTTCGGGCCTTTTCGTTTCAATTAGAAGTTTGACCTCCTTTTGCAAATCCAACACAGCAGGGCGATAGAGAATTGAATTCTGGGTTGCTTAGTGAGGTTGACAATGCTGAGAAACCTATATCAAACTGTGCTTTTAACCTCCAAAGTTGCAAAATACAATTTTGGACCAAAAATGGAAATTAGTTTTTGGATCGGCATTTCTGCTACAGAAGTCGTATTGGCGTTCCAAGTGTACCAAGCAACCCGGAAAATAGTGGCCAACAATCGGCTCGCTGTATGTATGGACCTAAAACGAACGGAAATAGCTTTTTTAGTGAAAGGGAAACTTCAAGTCGGCTGTCTGGTGCCGTAAATTTGGTTTTCAAATTGATTTTAGAACTGTTTTACATATCCAAAAGTCCATTCCATTGTCACTCACGGATAGGAAATTTTGCGTAGAATCTAAAAATGACCTCGTTTACTCAGTTCGATGCAGTTTTGACAAAGTTCTGTTTAATTTGGTTCGGCCGCGCGGCCCAGCCGCCCGGCCGCTCCTTGCCGGCCCGAGCGCCGCTCCTTGCCGGCCCGAGCGGCGCGCATAGCTTCACGCGCGCACTAGGCTGTTGCCACCCCCTGCCAGCACCCACGGCCACCAACCAGTGGGGCACCCAGTGGGGCACCCACCCCCGCCGTCCTCTGCTTCCAGCGAACGCCTCCGCACTTTTATGGCCGGCACACGCCAGATGACGCGGCACAGCGTCTAATCTTGAATCGGCCGCGACGCCGCACGGAAAAAAATTATTTCGCTACTCCAGCGAAACTGCGTTTGCTAGACTAAAGTTCGCTGAAGTGGCGAAAATAAACGCTGACACAAGGATTTAGAACGCTAGTTTAGCGAACTCCAGTTGGCTAATTTAGCAATCACATTTTGCCTACCTACGAGCGAATTTATTTGCTAAACGAACAAACACCATGCCAAAGGTGGGCGCAGGACACAAGTGCGAACCTCTGGCTGATGCGAGGAGAATGACATGGTAGTCTGGAGGCAAAGCGTGCGTCTCGTATTGAGGAGATCACGGGTTCAAATCCTACTGAGGTTGAATATTTGTCAAGCTGAGCGTCACCTGGTACCATACGGTGCAAATCCATTGGGTTGGACCAACGTCAAGCAGCAAGCATGTTAACGCTGGATGAGCCAGCGATACGCTTTTTGCTAGGGCAAAGACTGTTCGCTATTTCAGCGAACAGAAGTCGCTAACACATTCCTAGCCAATATCCCATGTCTGCCCAGCGTTCATGAATCGCAATCCCAGCAATATTTGTTTGCTATTCCAGCGAATATTTGTTTGGCGAACAAAAGTTCGCTGTTTCAGCGAATTTGCCCCTCGTCTCAAATCTAGAAGGCCGAAATTCGCTGAATCAGCGATTTTCTCGTTGAATCAGCGAATTTCTTTTTTTCCGTGCGCGCCGCGCCCCGCCCCGCCATCGACCCCCAGCGGGACCTCGCCCGCCTCGGCACCCGCCTCGGCGCCACCCGCCCGGCAAAAAAAGGTGGAAACGCGCGAGGTGCGGGCGGATTCCGACGTCCACCCACCCCCTCCCCCACTATCACACGCACATACACACACACACACCACCGCGGCGGCGCCACCGAGCAACGGCGTCGTCTTAATTCTGAATTATGGTTACGCGCGTAGGCACTGTATATACGCGCCGCCGCGCCGCAAGGCATTACGAAAACATTGGCTGGATTACCCCGCGGGCAACCCGCGGGAAACCCGCGGCCGAAAGGACGGCCGAGGCGGAGAGAGAAACCGGAGAAACGGCGGCAAAGTCGGCCACAGTCGGCCACGCCAGACTTGGCGGACGGACGCCAGCGGACAGGCTTCCAGACGACGTCTCGTGCAGCTCCAGTCAGGCTCCAGCCAGGCTCCAGCGCACATTCCACGCGGGTCCCGACGACCAGAGCACGGCGCCAACCCTCCCAGCCAGACCAGCCAGACGCGCGGACGGGCGAGCGGACGTGCCCCGGAGTGCGGACAGACCGACAGACAAACAGGACAGACGGACCCCGGCAATCCGCAGCCATCGACAGGACAGGTGCAGGGTAGGGTCGCCACCTGCCTCGGCCCTTCCAGCCCTTCCGCGCCTGGCGGTCGACGCTCGTCATGTCCAGGAGGCGGACGGCGACCCTTCGGCCCACGCCAAGCGACGCCGAGCGACGCGACGCGCCCCTTTTCCCACCAGATAAACAAACACTCCGCACCGCGCAGTGGGCCAAAATCCAAAAAATCCCGGACGGGTTTTGGGTTCCAGATCTGCTAAATGGCACTCGAACTGAAGGTGCGACCCCACCAACGGATTGCTCGCCGAACGAGGAATCCATTGCGGTTGCTGGGGGGCGAGGGGGCAAAAACTCGGGATTTTCGTGTACACATGATTCGGAAAACGCAATGATTGCGCATGGTTTTAATTGATTTCATGGCTGATTCTGCCTTCCTTTGCGACGCAGCAGGGTGATGTCGAGCGTGATTGTGTGTGATTGTGTTCGGAAAGAAATGATTTCGGACTGATTTTGCCTGGTTTCGTGTGATTCTGCCTGATTTCGGTCGATTTTAGTGATTTTGGTTGATTTCGGATTGCTTGATTTCGCGTGATTGTCAATGATTCGCGTGTGATTTCGGGGGCCGTGTACACATGATTGCGCGAGTTTTTGCCCCCTCGCTGGGGGGTCACAAGCTCGATTCGAGTCCTCCAAAGCGACTCGAGCTCAAAACGCGTCTTGAGTTTTGGCCGCCAGCGCCGGTCCTCAGGCTCACTGTGCACCGCAGAGCGGTAGAGCGCTCCACAGCCCGTGCGCCGCGCGTCCTCGAGGCCTTGACGGCCTGCACGCCGTGTGTTTGGAGAACGGGCCGCCTGGCTGCGCCTGGACTTCATTAAAAGTTGCCTCTCCCCACTTGACTGGCTAGAAGCTGCCTGCTCCCCGCCACTCGGCGCGGCGCGCGCTCCCGCTCCGCTCCACGCAGAGCGACGCGGAGCGCAGGAGCGCCCGGCGGGTAGGCAGTCGACGGGTCGGCGCGCACGCCAGCGCGCGTAGTGCCTACCTCCACGGCGCCCCGCTGGAGGCTCGCCGCGCTGCCGCCACCCTTCACCGGGCCGGCAGTGCAGGGAAGGGGAAAGGGGGGGGGGGAGTCGAGCGGAAACAGCCAGCCGAGTGTTTCTTTCCATCAGGGCTGCACCGCCAGCCCGACCGCCCGGCAGCCCGGCACAATACAATAACGCTGACGACTCCATTTCCGAGGAAGGAACGCGGGACGCGGCCGGGACAGCCAGCGTCGGCCAGCGTCGGCCAGCGTCCCCGTCCACCCCACGCCAGGCCGTCACGCCGGCCAAAGAAACCTTGACGGCGATGACGGCCAGGCACGGCCGGGCCGCTAACGAGGGGCGACTGCGCACGGCGCATTCCAGCAGCCCGGACCAACCCTCGCTCCGTCTCTCTCGCACTCGCGGGGCGTGCCGCGCTGCCGCGGGGGTGCGAGGCAGACGGCACGGCCAAACGCTCCCTGCTACGTTGAGTCCCGCCTGGGACGGCCGGCATACTTGGCATAGTCACGTGACGACCGCCGCTTAGACAGATAGACAGACAGACTAGCAGGCGGACTCCCCGGCGTCAACAGCCACGCCAACAGCCAGGAAGGGAAAGGTGAGAGAGAGAGAGGGGGGGGGGGAGAGGCAG